TATTGTCTCACAGTCCAGAGTCTGGAAGTATGAAATCAAGTGGTAAAGGGGTCATGTTTCCTCTGAGATCTAGCGGCAGCTGGAAATCCATGGCCTTCCTTGGCTTGTAGTCTCCAGTCTCTACCTCTTTTGTCATGAAAAAATTCTTCTCTTTGTGTGTCTACATATGTTTCAGACATGGTCTTGTTATGTTGCCCAGACTGGTTTTGAACTACTCTATTCAAGTGATCCTCTTGCCTCAACCTCCCAAGAATTGAGTCTATAGATGTATACCATCATGCCCAGCTTCTGCTGGATTTTATCTTTGAAAAAACATAATACTTGTAGGAAAAAAAATCCAAATCCAAGGCTTCAAGGACCTGAAGTTTTCTGAGTACTTAGCCCCACATGAAAGGACAGGATTACTTATGTTCACGTTTATTACTAGATATAGTTCTTCAGAGCCCCTCACTTCATCTGCTGGCTGAATAGAGAGAACTCTGAGGATTCGAAGGAAGGTAGAGAATTTAAAGGAAGAAAAAAGCCTGAGTTCATGAAGGACCACACGGGACAGAGTCTCAATGCCATCCTGCACTGGATGGTGATATGAGTATGAAATATATGTTTATTTGTTTATCTTCTGAGACTTAGGGGCTATTTGTTTCAGCAGTTAGTCTATACTAATATTTATTTCATCCTACTTCCTTCATTGTCCTAAAAAGGAGAGTGATACAAACTACAGAGAAAGAATCCAGCTTACAGGAAATAAAAGACTTCCTAAATAAATGTTTCTTGTATAAGAATACTCATTCTCACTATCTAACTATCAAAATGTTCTCTCAAAATTTCTTCAGATTATCATTTTTAAAGTCTTAATCAGGAACTATATTTAGCCATTTCAAGCATTAAACCTAAATCTTAAAACGTTATGTTTGTGGAGGAAAGTTTCTTACTACAAAATTTGAAAAGATTTTATTTGAAAGTTTTATTCAAATACAATATTTGATACATTTTTATGTGTTTTTTTTTTTTTTTTTTAGTTGTTGGTGAACACTATACCTTTATTTTATTTTTATGTGGTGCTGAGGATCGAACCCAGTGCCTCATGCATGCCAGGTGAGCACTATACCACTGAGCCCTAGCTCCAGCCCAATATTTGATACATTTTAAAATAGATTTGCAAAATTATTTTTTCTCATTATATAATATAAAAATAATGTATTCTTGGGCTGCGGATATAGCTTAGTTGCATGCACAAGGCCCTGGGTTCAATCCCCAGAACCACACACACACACAAATGTATTCCAAACTACATATTGATGCCATTTATACAGCCCTATATGCCACAAAAATGGTATGATTTTTGAAGTGTGACATGCTATCAATGAAACTGGGAAGTTAATGCTAATGTTGCCACTTACCCTCTCTTTTTCTTAGCATTCAGTATTTAAAGATTTGGGGAGGCATTCAGATATATTAGCTAAAATTCTCTAGAAAATTATGGTAATTTAAAAATATTTGAAGCATTTCTGGAGATGTAAAGAATGCCTAGGTGGGGCAGTCTGATTATAGTAATGACTGATTGTTCCTGCTTACTTGCCCACACTCTTTGGGTTGTGACTGTTTCACTCTTTTATTAAGATGTGGAGTCTATCTGCCTACTCCTCAATCTGGGCTGATCTTATAATTTGCCACAGCCAACAGAATAAGGCACCAGTGACAGTTTCCAGTTGTGAACCAAGGTTTCAAGAGGCTTTGCATGCTTCTTTCTGATCACTTTTTTTTTGTAATACCGAGCTAGCCTGTAGGAAGAGGAAAGAACACAAGAAGAACTAATCGTCTCACGTGAACATCCTAGGCCCACAAACAACAGGCTGGCCCCCACACAGATAAGAATCCAGGCCTGATCAGCAAAGCTGACTCAGATACCCAAGTGAACCCAACAGAGAACAAAAGAACTTCCTAGCCGACCTATAGACTAGACAGCAATAGTAAATGCTTATTGTTTCAAGTCACTGAATTTTAGGTGATTTTATAATACAGCAATAGCTAACTTATTCACTATAATTGTTAGAGGATTTATTAGGGAAAGCCCATATGTTTTCAAAGTCATTAAAAAGCTCAATCCTTGTAGAAAAATAAGATATAGCATTCATAGAAATAGTTTTACATACGTGTTATGTACAACATATATATTATGATTTATTGTTTGTTTACTTTTTATAACCAATTTTGAAATTTTTATGGTATAGTATAAAATTTACTACCAGAGATAAAATTTATGATTTACTGTATATAAGAACTAAAAGGAAAAAACTTAGAAAATAATGTGGCATCCTTATAAAATGCTGGAAGGCATGTCCCAATTTAATAAAATCAGAGAGTAGGCAAGAAAGAACAAGTTGCCATGAAAAGATATTGAGCCAGACAAGGAATTGCTGCAATCAAAAATTGTAAGAGTATTCCAACAATCACAGGTCATCAGCAACTTGGGAGGCTGAGACAGAAGGATTGCAAGTTCAAGATCAGCCTGAGCAATTTAGCAAGACTCTGTCTCAAAATAAAATATAAACAGGAACTGGGATATATCTCAGTGGCAGAACACCTCTGGGTTTAATCCCCAGCACAAAAAGAAAAGAAAAAAAAAAGAGTATTCCAACAGAAAAATGGATATAAATTTGAATGAACTCACAAAAAATATAAAAAGCTGGGTGCAGTGGCACACGCCTGTAATCCCAGTAGTTCGGGGGGCTGAGGCAGGAGGATTGCGAGTTCAAAGCCAGCCTTAGCAACAGCGAGGTGCTAAGCAACTCAGTGAGACCCTGTCTCTAAATAAAATATAAAATGGGGCTGGGATGTGGCCCAGTTGTTGAATGTCCCTGAGGTTCAATCGCCAGTAACCCCCTCAAAATATAGATATGTAAAAAGTATAAGGGGCTAATAAATAAAATGAAAATACAGCAAAGCTTAGTAAACCAAAGAAAGACAAAAGAAGAATAATATATCTTTTTTTGTGTAGCAATTCTACAAAGAAAAATAAGTTATGCTTTTCAATGCCAGGAAGCATATAACGAGGCATCCATTTCTCCTGGAAGAGTGAATGTGTTCACTTGTTCCAGAAAACAATTTATTGGACTGTATTAAGAGCCTAAAAAATGTTGTAAGCTTAACTGTAATGCACCAATAAAAAAAAAATCAGGATGTAAAAAAAAAATGTTGTAAACTTAACCCAGAATTCCACTTCTAGAAATCAATCAGGAATAAGTGATCAGAAATTTTATCAAAGGCTATAATGTATATAGGATATTTATGACTATGTCACCTAAAAGGAAGCTTAATATCTAACAACAGATAAATGAGTCAGTAAGTTAGGCATATTGACATAATAGAATAATATGTTGCCAACAAATAATGGTATTCATGAAAAATATTTTATGATCTGAAAGCAGGCTTGTGATATAAAGCTAAACAAAAAAACATAATGTGAAGTTATAATTGTATTAAGACATATGTTTTGCTCAATGTTTTTATGTAAAAAAAAAAAAGGCATAAGAAAATATATAAAAATACTAATTGTTCTAATTTGACTGAGTGATAGATGTACAGGTGTGTTTGATGATCTTTATTTTTGAGATTTGTCAAAGGAGAAACAAAATATACTATGACAAAAAAGAGTAAAAACAGAATGATATAGAGAAACAATGTTAAATATCTTTACTAATTCCAAATAAAGTATATTCATTATGTATTTTTATTTTTCAGATATTTAGTCTCTTCATCTTCCCTAATAAGAGTGAATGTGTAAAATACTCAACATAAATGTATAAACAGTCATGCCTCACATAGTAATATTTTGGTCAACAATGGAATACATATACAATAGTGGACCTATAAAATTACAATGGAACTGTAAAAATTCCTATTCCTTACTATTTTGACTGTACCTTTCCTATATTAGACACATGAATACTTACTATTGTGTCACAACTTCTATAGCACTCAGTGTGGTAACATGCTAAACAGGTTTGTAGCTTAGAACAACAGGTTGTACCATATAGATTAGGCATGGTGTGAGGTACATCCTCTAGGTTTGTGTAAGTCCACCCTGTGCATGACTAAACTGCCTAAACAGGCAGTTCCCAGAAACTATCCCAATGTAAAGCAGCATGTGACTGTACTAAAGAACATGAGGGGCTACAAATCTATTTAAATCTGCCACTAGTACCCTCATTTACTTCACCATACAAGACTAGAAGTGCCAGAAGGGTCAGTACTATCTCATTCACTTCAGTGTCCCTAGCACCCAGCCAAAAGCAGGGAATAGAGTCTTACATTATACATAATTAGTAAATGAATATACTATCATCAAGACTTCTTCTAAATCAATGAAAACTACCAAGTATTTAATAAATCCTGAAAGAAGTATGACCACACAAACAACTACATCCCATGCACATGATATCTATGGCAGCTGCAAATATTTATACTTTTATTTTGCATCATTTGATACTCCTATATAAGTAAACCATAGCATAAGACACTTTTTGAAACCATAATTAGTATTGTGAATTCATGCATTGTGCCCTATGAATAATTAAAGCATATGATTACTTTTGAGTACTAAATGGCACTTCAGTTAGTAGCATCCTTGAGTATGTTATTCTAGCTCAAAATTCAAGTAGCATTATCTAATGCAGATTCTTCTTATGATAGATAATGATGACATTCTCCATCTTTCTACCTGAGTAATTATAAAGTTTAATAGTCTTTGATGTAGCTGGTTACCTGAATAATTTTTCTAGATAGGAACAATTAAAATCTACTTATTTGATGGTTTGTGCATTCTCGACTATTGTCTCAAACTCTTTGTTTCTGTGGAAACCTGATGAAACTTAAAGAACTTTAAATCTATAATGAGTTTGCAAAGAGCATTTGTTTTCCTTAATTACCGAGAATATACAGCTGGATTATACGTAGCACAGTTTCTATAACAAACTTTTAGGAATAAAGAGTTTGCTTACGTCTTTTTTTCTCCTGTATGAGAAATGGCACAGCTGTCTAATTTGGTTCTGACCCTGGTACCAGGAGTGGGGATTTTCTCAAGGCCACAGCAATGTGAAATGAACAAATGTTACCACCATTCTGCCTTCTGTCCTGCAAGGAGAACGTCAGCATCCATGAATGCACTATCTGCTTCGGTTTCTTTTGCCTCTGCCTCAGTAAAGCTTGTTCTGCCATTATTATTTCAGCTCAAGTAGTAGGATCATTATTTCAAGCTTTGTCTAGATTAAACTGTCCTATGGGGTTACCCATCATCTATATAGACTCTACTTTATAAATCCCTATAGTAATACCCTGAGAACTCCTCATTAAACAAGTATTGTGGCATCTTGCTTGTTTACACAGAAAGAATAATCTTTCATATCTTAAAGAGAAGTACCTTAGGAAAAAAAAATGCTTGGCTGGAATTAGAATGAATGTGTCCTTCTGAAAACAAACTGAAAATACCATATAAGTTGATGTCAGAACAACATATATGTGTCAAATTCCAAATTAATAAATGGAATAATTAGAATCAGAGTCCTGAAATGTGTTATTTGCAGAGTAATTGCCCAAGAGTTAGATGACACCTTAATATAGGAAATCTCATTAATACGAAGTCTGCAACACCTAGTTTGGCAATAGCTCACCCTTCTAGGAAACATTGCCAACTCCTATGAATGTTCCTTCAAGTGTTCTTCAGAATGCTGAGGAAATGTTGTATTGCTTGACTTATGTAGTCTTAATAGCAGGAGGCTAGTTCTACCCAAATCTGCCAGATTTTTAACAAACTACTGTCAATGGTTAGTATGGCAGTCTATGGGGGAATAATATTTTAACAGAGCACTTATAGAAACAATGACTTAACAAAAAAATCAAGATGACAAAATATAGAAAGATGCACTGTCCACATGCATGACTAACTTTGCATATACAATAAAGAGATCTCCAAATTCTGGAGATGTCTAATTCTGGAGATTGTGGACTGATGACTTCCTCAAGACACAAGTGTGCAGCAAATCACTGTGCTGGGAATACTTCCAATTTGTTTAAAGGGAGAGAGAGAGTGGGAAATTCTAATTGGCATAGAAATGTTTGACTTACATAGCCTGCAGCACAGAAAACCAAAATGAAAAAAAAAATGTGGAGCTAAGTTAAAAACACAATGCTAGAAGAATATGAAGAAGTAGAAAATCATTAGTATTAACATCATTATTATTAATAAGCATCACTGAATGTAAGCATTAATACAGCTCCAAGGCAGTGCATAAAAACTGCAAAAGCAGCCATGTGCAATGGTACACACCTATATAACTCAGGAGGCTGAGGCTGGAGGTCTTCAAGTTTGAGGTCAGCTTGGGCAACTTAACAAGAGCATATCTCAAAACTTTAAAAATTAAAAAATAATGAGGGTTAGAGAGGGTGGCTACAATGTAGAGGACTTCTGGGTTCAATCTTCAGTACAATAAAAAAAAACTGCAAAAGTATCTTACAAGATGGTCAAAAATTAGTGGGGTTTTATTAACCACTTGGGATTGAGTAAACCAGACTAAAATTTGTTAAACAATTAGCTGGCATCTGATTAGAATGGGTGTCCAATAGTTTCATAGCTATCTAATATTTAGAGGGAATTGAGAGTTGCTCCTGTAGGAAATGGGATAAGCTGGATTCAACTCCACCAAAAGAATGAAAACAGTGAATGAGTAAGTGAAGCTCAGAACCCAACACAAAGACTTCCAAGCACTTCTAGAATTAGAAAGTCCTTACCCAGGTGCTTTATGCAGACTAAATTTTCAGTACTATAGTGTGAGAAATAGTCAGAGGCAGCCTAGAATCTAAAAGAAACAGGGCTGTTTCCTCAGTTTGTAAGTCTGGGGGAAATAGGCCTTTGCAGATGCTGGTGAACCATGTACTAGAATCTAGCTTGCCTAGACTCTCCTGCTAGTTCTTGCAGTAAGTACTGAAAGTTTCTGAATTAAGATAAAGAAAGGTTTAGACTTCAGATTTTATTAGAAGCCATGGGACCATTTAGAATTACAAGGTTTTGTCTTCCACAGCTCTTGCTATATTACATGACATTTTTTAAAGCATGCTATATATACATGAGTGCATATATGTAATTATTTCATTGGATAGTGGTGTTTTGTTGTTGTTTTGCAGCACTGGAGGTTGAACCCAGGGCAGGATATGTGCTAGGCAAGTGCTCTGCCACTGAGCCATATTCCTAGCCCTCATTGGTTAGTTGAATATTTCTTTAAGGAGTTTTTGTATGAAAGATATTTGGCTAAACAAGATCCACCACTGTTAAACATGTATAATTAACCCTTTAAAATCATAGAGAAATTATTAGAGCTTTAAAAACAGCCAGGTTTTTTTTTTTAAATTGTGAATTTGGATATTAGCAATCTAGCAAATGCTGCAAAAAAAATAATGGCAAAGGGAAGAAAAACAGCCCAACTGGTGCTAGAATTATTTCACAAACTTGTTTATTAAAATAATGCTATGAGAACTCTTTCTTTTTCCCCCACTGGGCAAGGTATTTTCTTAGTTCAAAACATTGGAAATCTAAACAGTTCTATTAATGCTTTAGACACAGCACTATGATATTTGATTATGCAGACTTCAGAGGATAATAAATGTATGTGGCCAAGGCTGAAATGTTTCCATCTTTTTCTGTGTTCTATTTTTTAATAAGAATGTATACGATAATGATGAAGTAATTAGCAACAGCATTGTTCTACCAAAATGATTGAAATCAGCACCTGAATACTGTCACTTGATCATTAACATAACTGAGTCAAACGAAGCATCCCCACAGTAGAGGGCAGTATTTGCTACATCTCTTTGGGACGAAGGACAGTACTGTAGATTTGCCTGGTTTTGATATCTTTCCAGAAGAAATGTGAAAAATTATCCGCATGGTGCAAGATCAGGTTCTAGGCCCTCTGGTATGGGTCTTGTACGTGCATGTGAAATGTAAGGTGAGTCAATTCTAATTGTTACCTTGAAAATCAGGGCTAAGCAGCATGAAAGGTGACATTTAGGATACTGAAAAAGAGAGAAAAATGGCTTTAGAATAGCTAGAAACTTTAAACTGGAAAATTATAACTTCTGAACATGTTAAGGTCTGGTAAATGCAGAGGTTTTGTTACTTGTGTTTTATATTTTGCTGATGTTGTTTCTGTTTTCCTATCCTTTTGGGAGACCTTTGGAGAGAAAATGAATGCTTAGATATTTGAATAGCCCAGAGTTGGAAAAGAAGTGGACAGCAAAGAGTTATTATTTTTCCTCCCATTCTTCTGTTTTCCAAATCATGGAAATACTCATTAAAAAATGCTAATTCATAATCTAAGGATATTAAAAAGTGAATCAGAGCAAGGTTGAATGCTTCTTTGTGCTGGATACACAAAGGGCCAAACCCTTCAAACTATGAACAAGACTGATAGAATTATTCACTCCATCTTCTTGCCGAAAAGACAACCTTGAATTATGTACTGCCCAAATTTTATTAAACAATAAACATTAATGAAAGGCCTGAACAACACAAGTCTATCCAAGCTCTAACATTTAAAACCTTTTCTGGATCAAGTTGGATATTTCAGAGAAATATCTATTATTGTAAAGCACCTTTTTGACGAAACAGCATGAGTTTAACTGAACTTCACTTGGTTATTATCCCCCAAGCTTGAAATAAGAATCTGTACAATACAAACTTACATTGACAGCAGGAATGTTGCTGAGGAAATTATCCACTGGTATCTTTCAGAAGTCCTTACAAAGATCCAAGTACCAGGAAAATCTTTACTTCCTCTGCTTTGCTTCTATCTTCTAACTTACTAAATATCTTTTCCCCTATTTGGCTGACAGGAGGCTGGCAGTTGATGTAATTGTTCAATTTTAGGAGCCATGTAGTTAATAACAGGAATTTGTGTATACTAACTTTTTCTGTCTTTCAACTTAATTATTCTCTATTTCCTCTTTGCCCTAATTTTTACAAAATCTATTTGTTAAATTCTATTTGTGTGTATATTATATATCTATATATACATATGTGCATATGCACATTAAAATACTTTTTGGAATCAGATAAAGTATATAAACATGCTAAGATTATTCCTTTTCTATTTGTTTTTAAACGTTAGTAATTTATTTGCTTTTAGTTAAACAGGAAGCAAAAGAGAATCAGGATTCCACAAAAACTATGACCAAAGAGCCATAAATACTGCATTAGAAAAAATTATATGGGGTTTATTGATATAATTGTCAAAATTTGCATATGGAAATTTTTATTGTTTCTATCAATAAATGATCTTATTTTAACAATAAAAAAAGAAAAGAAAAGAGAGAATCAGGAAAACAAGTGTCAGTAAGAACTTGAGATAATAACTAGCAGTACTTCTTTTAATATCAGTTAAAAAGTATGTTGTGAGCATCCCTCAGTTGCAGTGGACTAAACATAGAGGTGGTATTCCTAGAGAAGGTGGGTTTTCAAGACAGGGAAATAGTTAAGTATAAGGGAAGGAGAAATATATTTCATAAACATGGAATTGAAAGGTATTTGGTATGAAGGAAAAAGTAGCCTGAGAAAAACAAAGCATCACTGGTATTAGTAAAGCAGTGAAGGAGATTAAAAAATGTATTGTGCCAGGGTGGTGGTGCACACAGCTGTCTCAGCATTCAAGGCTAAGGCAGGAGGACAGGTTGGGCCCAGGAGTTTGAGATCAGATAGGCAACAAAGAGAGATCCTGTCTTAAAAATAAATAAATAAAAGTATTGCAAAAGCTACAACAGCCCAGAAAGATGCGAACGTTTAACAATTTGAATTTACACTAGGACGTGATAGGAAGATGATGCAGAAAGTTCAGAGGGGAAAATGATGATACAAAAGGTATGTAAAGTGATTTTCATATCTCTGTGTAACTGTGTATGACAATTGACAATGTACAGAGTTTTTCACATTGTTATGGTTGAAAAGCAGTAAAACAGGTTGTCAAAAACCTTAAGATCAGTGGATTGTTTTATTAAGACCTCCTACAAAGTAACATTTGAATCCCAAGA